TTGACTTTTTGACTAATATAAAATATAACTTAATAGACTGCTGGGTGGTGATAGAAACAGTAGAATGTGGGACCTAGTTGGAAGAAAACTATTATTGGGGCATGCCCTTGAAGGTCATATGTTAAACCATTCTCTGTCTTTTCATCTTCCATCTCTCTTCCAGTCCCTTCCTCTCCTGGTTTTCATGAGATAAACTTCTCCCAGGATCTTTTTCTAACAAAGGTTCAGATTCAGTGGAGCCAAAGGACCGTAGGCTGAGATGTCTGAATCTGTTACTCAATTGCATTTATCCTTCTATAGTTTAAAATTTTAAGGTAATTTGTAATGGAAAGTTTGCTAGCACACCCATATTAATTTTGTTTGGAATCTTGGAATTTAGTTAAACTTGAAAATATTGGAGTATTTCCAATGTAATTTTCCAACAGAATTTTTTAAAAAATTTTTTTTGTGGATGATAACATGCATCTGACATCAAATGTGCCTCTGAAGTGGTTCTTGGTTTTATATGGAAAGCAAACAAAACTCAGTTGGGGTTTCTGGTGCAATAGAGATAAGTGAAACCATTAATCTGCTTCATTTTTATTTTAGGAGAGAATGTTCTTAAGATGGTGGCCCAGGAACACATACAGTTACAAAACAAGTTCCCTAACTCTCTGTAAGAGCTCTTGTTTATTTAGAAATTAGTATGTGACAGATACTGTTAATATTATAGTATCGATCGCTCCCACATCAATCCTTGAAGAGAGAAACCAACATTATTTTCATATAACAAATGAGAGAAAGTGGAGGCTGCCAGGAGGTCGAAATGCCTGCCCCAACCCACTCAGTGTAAAATGGAAAATAAGCAATAAAGCACAGATGGGAAACTCCAGATCTTCCATGGCTTCTCACCATGCTGGACTGCTTCCCAAGAAGGAATTTTCCTGTCAATTAGGATTTCATAAGCCGTGGATTCAGAAGACTGAGTCAAATCACACAGCTTCCAGCTAGGGGTTAGGATTACATGGTTGACATCTAAACTTCATGAAAGTTAAAAAATCTAGACCATTTAGACCTGGGTCAAGGCTTCCAAAGAGTTCCAGGCATATCTCCTGCTAACCACATGAAGATGTACAAGTAGAGTTTCTCTCTGAGTCACAGGAGCTCACCTATAAAATTAGGAAAATATGTTGAACTCTCTGAATGCTCAAGAAGATGAAAGACATCATTTACATATAGTGCTTAAAACACTGTGTCAAAAACAGGAAATGTTTTACACTCCTGGTACTCTTGTGTCCTAAATACCTACTAAGTGCCCATTGTGTGACTATGTTGGAAACCTCAAGTCACCTCTTTGCTTCACTCTAACATAATAGCCTCTAACTACAAAAATTTAAACACTTTTTTTTATCGCATTGGCTGTGTTCCATGGTGTAAACTCTCTCATCATGGCACATTGATGTTATCAATGGCGATTAGGAGACAACACAGCAGAAAGTAGTGAACAGTACTAAGCAGAAACTCCTTGGGTTTCCACACAATACACTCTTTCAGGTATTATTTTTAAGTAGAGCCTCTTCAATCAGCTCATCCATTCCTTTTTTTTAAGGTCTACTATTATTTAGTCAATAAACTCCATTCTTTACTTTGGGGATGGACGAGCTACAAGATAAATGTCTGCTTTCACGAAGCTTCAATTTCAATGGAAGACACCCACAACCCCCCACACCCAAGCGTGCACGTGCATGTATATGCATGCACACACACGAATGCAAACGTTTTATTGGTACGCTTCCAAGTTAGGGATCTATTTTGAAGACTGGGGAACCTTTAGGAGATGGAGTGAGGCTAGTGGAAGTAGGCCTCAAGGTGCATCTCTGAGTCCCACCTTTTTTCTCTTCTCTGATCTATTTTGTGTCATAGCTACCACTTCTTGCTCTTTCCAACAGGGATGTAATCTCTTTATACGTCCACTACTGCTACAGTGGAGACAGGGCTAAAATCCCTCTGCAGCCATAGATCAACACAAACCCTTCCCACTTAGGTTGCTATTGTCAGGTATTTAGTCAACATTGCACAAGAACACTAATAGTAGATCACAAATAAGTAAAGTGATGACTATCAGATCATTCGCTCGTAGGAAAGAATCTTGTATTATGACCTACTTTTAGACTATAAAAATGAAGCAGTCTTTCCTTCAGACTCCGTATTTATTAACTAATTCATTTTATGTATATAGTTGCTTTGTCTGCTTGCATGAATGTGTACCATGTACATGCCTCTCACCATGAATGATGGAAGGGGTAGAAGGTTAGATCCAGAGGGACTGATGCTACAGATGGTTGTGAGATACTCTGGGGTTTTAGGGAATTAAACCTGGGACCTCAGACAGAATATCCATTGCTCCCAATGCTTTCAGAAGCTGAACTATGTCTCCAGCACCCAGCTTCTATATTTTATGACACATAATCTCAAACTTCCTCCTACTGCAATGTGCCTTTCCTCTGAATCCATGCAGAAAGTTCATATCTTTTTCAACCAAATAATTTAGCCAAGGCAAAGTGTAGCTGCCCTACACCTGAGCCTAAAGCACAGAAGCTCTTCAGAGCCTCCATAAATTCCCTCTTGGTGCTGTGGGCAACAAGGTAGAAGGTGACCAGCATGTTCATGGCCAGAAACTTGGCTTCATTCATACAGAAACTTCATGTATCAAATAGATTCCTTGCTAGAAAAATCAGAGTAAAGCTTATCAGAGGCAAAGAAACCAGGTACCCCAGGACACAGGAGAAGGTAGTGAATTGGCTTTTCTTGTATACAATAACCTATGTCCATGCCCAGAGAACACATCTGTGTGAATGAGTAAGGGAGAGACTACCATGAAGATGTCACAGAGTGAGTTGAATCAGAATCAGATGGAGTTGGTGGTTCTGTTGCTTGAAGGAGATGCTCTTTATTCACTTCAAAATGCAATCGGAAGCAAAAAGAAAAAAGCATTAGTGTAACCCAGTTAGAAGAAATTATTTGTGCATCTTAGAGAAAGGCCCTGAAGAGGCTTATCAGTTATTTGTTTTTTGGTCTCCTGAGAAACAACACTGGACAAAAAGAGTTGTGAGTACAGTCAATCATGGCTGGCAAAGCATAGAGTCAGAATGAAGCAGTTGGTCATATTGCAGCCACAGTGCAAAAGCAGAGAGAGATGAATGCTGGTAATTAGGTGTCTTTCTCTCTTTTATTCAGTCTTAGACCACAGCATATGCCATGGTGCCAACCACAATTGAGGTGAGTTCTCCCACCTCAATAAACCTAATCTAGAAGATCTCTTACAAGCATATCCCAAAGTTTGTTTCCATGATAATTGTAAATAACATCAAACTGACAGTCAAGAAGGTATCACTTCAGTGAGACAGAGAGGATAAGGAGTCACCTTCAGGAGTAGTTAGAGGGCCCACGGTTTCAAAAGAAGAGCACAATACACAGAGAGACTCTAACTTAACAATGGGTGCCGTCTAAACAAGAAATGAAGCCAGCAAACCAAAGCAAAGTAGACTCAGGGCATGGCTCGATGATGAGACTTATCAGCCAGGAATAAAAGTGAGGCTTAACTGAACCTTGCAACCATTCCTGTGTCTTGTCTGAACCCATCTTCAGATATTTTTCAATGGGATGCTATGGCTCAATAGAAGAGAAGCCAGAAGAAATAGGAAGCTTCTCAAGAAACTCCCAATCTGAATCATTGCTCTCACGTGTGAGAACCTTCTCTGTATTCTTCTCCTTAGACTTTGGATTCAGGGCTACCTCTTCAGAGGGAACATCAATAGTGATTTCTCCATGTGACCAAGGAAACTAAAGTCTGAATCAAAAGTTAGCAGACTCTAGATCTTAGGCAAAAGATGTTGGATGTCTGCTGCCAGTAAGCATTCTAACACACTATTTTAAATACGAAATAGTGTTAGACTAGCATCAATATTCCTAATTTGATACATAATGGGTGAATCAATAGAGTAGATGCATTTCACAGTTATACTTGTATAGCAGGTGAATAGAAGCCTAGCTATAAATAGTGAGTTGTGTTGGGCTACTAATTCCTTTTGTGTTCTAACAATATCATTACTCTACCTCAGGTTTCTCTGTAAATTCTACAATAATACATCAACAATCTAACAATGAAGAAGTACTCTAACTTGCATTTCTCAGGTTCTTCATGTACAAGATGGGATAATAATAATAAATGCTGTAACTTGCATTAAGAAGATTATATGAGTTACAATATTTTTTTACACTGCAGTACCTGGCATCTATTAGTGTTAAATTTTAGCTAGTATATTTATTACAGATTATCACTCCTTATTCTTTATGGCACCCTCTTCCAAGACGTCAAGATCTTAAATACCCTCTACTATTATTCAAATCAAATTTCTGTCTCTAAGGAATTGTTTGGCTAAATGTACTAGTACAAATGGTTAAAGATCCTTCTAGAAGCTGTCCAACAAAGTTTTCAAGTTTGTCTTATTTCCTCCTGTTCAGTCCTCTGTAGAGAGGAGAAGGTCATAGCCAGTTCAGTCTACTCAAGGGCAGGGTATTCTGACTCTCAAGCTACCATGCTTTTGTGGTCTATTGCTCAACCACTGTTCGTCAATTTGCAGATCTCTCTGGGAAAACTAAGGTTTCTGTACATCGGTTTTCAAGGTTGGTGAAGAGAGACCAATCAGCACCAAACACTCTCTTCTGACAAAGGCAGCCTGTTGAAGAAGCCCCACCTCTGAGTCTGTGACTGTCCTTTTGGCTCCACCCCTATGCACACTGCTTCTACAGGGCACTTCCAACTCAGTTAGTTAGCTTCCTCTTTGATCTCCAGTTCTTCCAGGATCTTCACCAACCAAGTTCTTTCCTTGCCTTTTCATTTTTGTGTATTGACCCAGAGTTCATGTGTGTTTGTTTCAATGGCAAAATTATCCTTAACTGTTGGCTCAATCTTTTCCCTTGAAGACCACATGTCCTCTGAGAGCTAAGAAGTAAATGGCAGTCTGGAGGCTGGGAGGACCAACGTAAGTCAGATAAAATCCCTCAGCTTCTTGTGCTGCCCCTGGTGTAGGAACTACATTTGAACAGAACATGAAAGAGAAACAAGTCCTGGAAACAGAAACTAGTGGGTAGAAAGCTTTCTCGGAGATATGACTGGAAGCCCCGACTCTTCCCAGCAATCCATGCCTGTCCCTGTCTGCCACTGTCCAGTCAAGAACTGGTATGAATGAGCTCTCTCTCCCTCCCTCTCTCTCTTTCTCTCTCCCTTCCCTTCTAAATCTCCCTCTCTCTCCCCCTCTCTCTCCCTTCCCTATCCCACTCTCCCTTTCTCTTTATCTTATTTCTATTTCTTTCTCTTTTTTTTTTTTTCTCTTCCTCCAAGAACTTCAGGCTCTTGATTTTTTAAAAGGTAAGGGGGAGGGGTCGATAGAATAAATCAATTTCCTTTTCATTTTTTTTTTTTTGAAAGGTTTGACCCATTGCTTTTCAGGAGAATCTTTTGAATGCAGGGATAATGGAAGCTTCTCCCTGCAGCCAAAGAAACTTGAGAATAAAAGCCAGTAGCAGACCTGCCGTTATGACTCTCTCCAATGGAGGTCAAGAAATAGAGAAACAAAAGGTCTCAATCAAGAGAAGCCATCTGAGAAGCTCCCTAACGAGCTCCCCCCTGCCATCAGTCTCCACGACAATATCTACTGTGCATGTACATAGGCAACAGTTGCAACACCAAAACCCATGACTCAGGTCATCATCTGTGGTAAGTTAATCAGAAAGAATCAAAACATTTAGGGAAAATAAGAAATATGACCCAGGTCTCCAGCTTGGTTCATTTTCTCAGTCACAGAAAGAAGGTCATGAATTCATAAGGAAATGCTGTGAGTTGGTGTGGCTTATCTCTCAATTTAAAGCAGTTCCCGGAGTTGGCTGAGAGAAGAAAAACATCACATCACCTATAAAATCCCCTCCCTCCTCTCCCTTGCAGAATTTCCTCACAGGTTATTCCATACCAAGAAAAACCAGGGCGCAAGGCAAGAGTGAGATAAATAGTTTTGAAGCAGTGGAAAGCAAATGAGGTATGAACATAGCCCCTAAAATAGAGAGAATCAGACTTCCAAAGAGCTCATTGAACACAGGCACAGAGGAAAAGCCAAAGGGCTACAAAACAGAACGAATAAAGTAAAATGCAATTAAGGAATGTTTGATTTTATAGCCTTTTTAACATTTATATATTTATTTTGTATGAGGATGGGCATATTTATGACATGGTATGCATCTGGAGGTCAGAGGACAGCTTGCAGAAATTGCTTCTCTCTTCTCTCTTCCTACCTTCTCTCTTGTGACTTCCAGGGATGGAACTCCGATTGCCGAACTTGGCTGAAAGTGCCTTTACCCACTGAGCTGTCTCTCTCAGTTTAGAATTAAGCCAGGAACTGGTCATTCTCCATTTTAATTTTTTTTTTTTTGAGCTAGTCAAAATTAACCTCAATTGCAACAACTTATTTCCAGTGCTGGAAGACACACATGGCTCATTATCACTTATGGGCGTCTCTCCCTCCACAGATAAACTACTCTCTTGGCATCACCCATGCAAAGATCTCATCAGCACGTGGACGGCATGTGATATAAAGCACGTTCACAAGGGAAGGATTATCTTTTACTGGCAATCTGTGAGCACTATGGAAAAAGACGCTTCGTGATAGAATTATAAATGCTGGCCCATCAAACAAAAGCCTCATGTCTAAACCCTGGGTGAATATTGGATGCCATTTTTTTCCTGCTTGGCATTTTGATGTAACTATGCAATAATATCAAATAATTTCGTGTTTACATATGCCAGGTGACAAACTGCATATGTGCAATTACGGCACTTAGTAAAGAATTTTACAGGCATCTAATGCATAATGAAAATTCTGTATTGAAGTCTGTTTTTTCTCCTACAGTTTTATGTGTATTTGACACAGAATAGACAGGAGAGAGTCCTCCAATACTGGAAGCATTCACCAAGTCAGTTCTCCCGTAACTTGCCACTGTGCATGAAGCCAGAGATGGAAGAAGCCTGCAGAATCACAAATGGAAAGCAGAAATAGGAAGGAATTGCAATGAATAGTATTGAAGTGAATTCTGTGGTATGAAAATTAATATTTTTGTTTGAAGCTACACTGGACAACAATTTTAGGTCAATCTGATCATTCAGAAATAAACCGATACCATTTAGAATACGATGACAGAGCATAGCACAATGTGTTTAGCCTTGGCTTCCCAAAGTAAAATGAATGTAAACAATCATTTAAAGGAATCTACCTAGCAACGTGGAGCATATAAAAACTAAAAGAATCCCTTGATAAGTACCAGGTTTGTGTCTCAGAATTATCAAGATGATTGTTACAGATCTCTAAATGTGGCATGGTTGATTGATACTCTTCCTTGGCTGATTTAATTTTATTTATTCATTTAACATCAATATGTGCCTACCACTAAAGGAGGCTTTCTGATAATCAAAGAGCCTCTCTCCTGATACAATCTAAGATTTCTTTTTTTAATCTTTAATCCAAAGTCATGTAGTTTTATTTCCTAATATACATATTTTTCCAGTGGAGTATTTTCTAAAACATTTAAATAAATTTTATAATAATGGATCTGACAACAAATGCTCTAAGATATGCCTAAACCTGTTTACTTTAAACAAAGTTTATAAACTAAAAATTTTATATTGTTGAATAATTTCCTAAGATCTTAAAGAATTATTTGAAAATGTGATACATTCTAGTGTTTATTTATGTTATGACAGCTACACCTGAATTTTACATTTTCAAGCACATAAAATGTGGTTAGGAACTACCACCTGTATCAACAGTTGACAAGTGTCTGAGTTGTTTTCTGTACAGCAGGGTATATCAGTAGGCTTTCTACAGGAAATAGCATAAGCTGCTGTTCAAGAAGTTCTCAATGGTATTTTTAAGAATAATAATAAAATAAAAATAATGTAAAAAGATAGACCAAATCCTAACACTTTGGAATAAAAAAAAAAAACAAATAGAAGAAATAGAGCCCAAGACAAAGCCAAAGAAACAAGACATGCTTGTTGGTACTCCTAGCAATCTCATAAAAACGCTAATCTGGAAGTCATAATATGTACCCAAAGGGCCTGATGCAGACCTGCGCGGGCCTTGTGCATGCTGCCTCACGCTCTATAAGCTCATATGTGCTTTGGTCAGGTTGATTTAATGGGCCTTGTTTTCTTAGTGTCCTCTGTGACCTCTGGCTCCTATACTCTTTCTGCTTGCTCTTTTACAGGATTCACTGAGCTTTAAGGGGAGGGATTTAATGGCTGCTTCCAGCTAAATATTTCAAGGTCTCTCATTCTCTGCATAGGGACTGTCTCTAGGTCTCTGTAGTTGTTCCCATTTGTTGCAGAAGGAAGCTTCTCTGATGATGGCTGGACAAAGCACTGATCTATGAGTACAGCAGCATATCATTAGGAATTCCATTTTTTGCTACTCTTCTTTTTTCCCTGTTTTGTTTGTTTTTGTTTTTTAGAAAATAACAATATCTAGATTTGCCCTAGGTCTCTGAGATTTCTAGTCTCAGGCTCTTGGTAACCCAAGTAGTGTTGATTAGGACCTCTATCTCATGGAGTGGGCTTTAAGGCAAATCAGATATTGGTTGGTTACTCCTACAATCCTTTTCCATCATTGTACTAGCATCTCTTGCAGGCAGGACAAGACTGCTGACACTCTAATATGGCTAACGAACCATGACAAGTATTCTGAAGTCAGGGCTTGAACTGAGAGTTAATAATCAGACACTATGGGGTAAGACCCAAATGTAGCTCACTTTGTCTGACCTAGGACCTTCATTTTGCAAGTCATTAAATTTTATGATGCTATTTATTTTTTATTACATATATTTTTAGTGTGTATGTGTGTGTGGATTCCATAGTATCTATATGAAAATTAGGGAACAACTTTCAGGAGTATTTTTTAGTTCAATATGCAGGCCCAAGGAATCGAAATTAGGCCATCGGGTTTGAGCACAGCATCATTGCTCACTGAGCCATCTTGTCATCCCATGCAATGTCCAAAATCCTTGAAGACTCGGGTGAATTGTTGATTTTTTTCATGACCTCCCTATCATGGTTAATTTAGGGTTAATCTTCCCCACTAGTTTCAAAGAATGGTGTGTCTGCATATGGGTTACTTTGCAAAGGTGACCAAAATATATATGATTGGAAAGAAGGGCTGCGGCTCAGAGCTTTTTTAGTCCAGCTGGTGGCATGAAGTCTTGAGTTCAATCTCCAGTACTGAACAAACAAAAACAAATAAGCAGATAACAGTCCCAAGCCAGTAGCTGGATTTTCCCTGAATTACAGTGCATCTCAGCTGTACGGTTATTCATCACTGAGCTCCATCCACAAAAGCTCATTCTTTACATTGTCCTCCTGATCTGAAATGTGGCTATCTCTCTGCATTGCTAACTCTGAGTGTCTCAAGTCTTATTTTGTGTACATTCAACATCAAGGGTCACTGGATGCAGTTTTAGATTTTAGTTTAAAAGAGTATTTTAAATGTTATCTTATGAAATATTTTTTCTTTAAGTTCTTCCAAAGGCCAAAGGGAAAAAAATATACATGTTAATAAAAATAAAATTTATTTTGTGTAAATGTGAAACATTCCATTGACTATTTTTACAAATTCAATTTTTATTTTAGGATCTTAGCCACATTATGCTTATGTATTTTGAGATGTTTTGGTATTTCATAATCCCAATGATATTGTCATCGCCTATTATTACCCAGAAACTATGTTCAACATTATTTTTTTAATATCAAAATAATGAGAAGTGGAAGAATGATGATGGGAATCCCTAGGAAATGCTACTCTTGCGAAATACACCATTATTTTCCATTTATTCATTTCATTGCCCAAAAGAGACTGCAGGCTTGAATCAAAACTGTCGAGTATACATTTGTGGGTTTGCTGTCACTCTCTTTGGTTACAGTTGAGAACTCAGATGTTTTATTTTCAGTCTTCAATTTATGGGAAAGAAGAAAACCAATGGGATAAAATTGTTTAACATAGTAATTAGAGAATGAACGGAAAGAAAAACACATTAGCCTTCTAGACTCTAATGATGATGGCAAAATCACTATATAAGTGAACTTTTCTAGTCCTCATCTTCAGGTTGTAATAATCTATATAAATTTGCTTAAGCAAAAATTTCCTGACTGGTGGTTACTCTGGTCTAGGGGATAGGGCTGAAGGAAATTGGTGGGGTGGTAACAGTGTCTCAATTCAATGAGGAATGCTTGTATTAGTTATGTCTTTGAAAAACACATGTCTATAGCACTGATTAATTTTATTATGCATGAAATATGTCACAATAAAGCTAAAACCAGCAGTACTATATAACAAATTATCCCCAAATTTAGTAGCTTTGAACAGTGGTATTGACCAAAGGAATAAATAAAAATCATTTAGTCATTCAATTTGCTTAGTGGTAATCCTTTTGACAAAATAACAAAGAAGTGATGTCTCAAGGTCCCACCACCTTCTAGAGACTCCCGCCATCCTGCCATTCCTTGTTACGCTGTTGTTAGAAAACACTGTTGAATGATGAAGAACAATGAGAACAAAATTCCTGGGATTAGGAGGCACGATGCTTTCTCTACCACAGCATCAGTTCTCGTAAGTTAAGCCTCTGACAGACCTTAGCTTCATTACAGAATAACCACAAATATATTCTAAAAAGAGCTGGGAAAGAATTCTCTCTCTCATAGGAGCTCTCTCATCCTGGTAAAATATTGATGACAGAAGTTTTCATAATAATGCTAATTTCCACTGGTGTTTTACTCCTTAGAAAAAAAGTTCTTTGAAAAATATTTGTAATGGAACAAATACAAAAAGAAATGTATTTGATCCAGTTAATAGCCTTTCTGAAGTTAACCAGACAGCTCAACAAGTCTGTACATCCAGGATTGGTCCCTTCATTGAGATAAATTAGTTGGAATCTAGCATGTATTTTCTTGCCTTCAAGGACCCTGATTGATTTAACAACACACAGAATTTGAACACATTGTGTCTAACAAGCTAGCAAAAGGGAGAGAGGAGAAATATAGAAAACATACCACCGTTGCAGTAGGACTCTTGTCACACAAGGGTTGCTACAAAAGGGTAGTTGGAGAGAATGAATGCAGGAAGCCCATAGTGTTTCTGCACACTGACTGTGCTTGTTAAAATTGTCCAAAGCGAATTCCTTAGCAGAATAGCAAGCATTTCTCCCATGATGTTGCTCTGTTGTTGTGCACTCACGTCTTTCTGAAAAGAATAAATTTAAATGCATATATGTTCATCAGAAGCCATGAGGAAGTAACTTGTAATATCTCTCTCTCCTCTCTTTCTCCTCTCTCTGCCTTCCTCCATCCCTCCTCCCCTTACCCCCCTCTCTCCTCTCTCTCTCTCTCTCTCTCTCTCTCTCTCTCTCTCTCTCTCTGTGTGTGTGTGTGTGTGTGTGTGTGTGTGTATGTGTCTCCTTTCTTTCTCTCTCCCTCTCTCTCTCTTTTTCTCTGAACTATCTCATTAGAAACAGCATGCACTTTCTTACTTTTCACTCCAACAACTATCATCGGAATGTTTTCACATGCAAACACTCACAAAGTCCCCTTGTGACTTGCACACATTCCTCTTTCTAAGTACCACGCTCCATCATCAGTTTCCCTATGGTGCTTCCTTCACTCTTATGTAGCTACTGCATTTCCTCTCTTCTTTTTCCTCTTCTTCCCTAACTGAATGTGTCTCAATAAAGAACTCCATAAATGAGTCTCAGTAAAGTATCCAAGCTTGGAGAAAGAGAGAGAGAGAGACAGACAGACAGAGAGAGAGAGAGACAGAGAGAGAGAGAGAGAGAGAGAGAGAGAGAGAGAGAGAGAGAGAGAGAATTCTAATGCAGCCCTTTTATCCAAAATAACAGACTCCAGCCACAGCTGAGAGGTTCTCATGGCAATGTGTGTTTTCAAAGTGTGTGATCCTTTAATAACTTCTATTCTCAAGGGGCCATAAATGATCACCAAGTTGATAATTTTATATATAAAAGGTCTGAGGACAAACAAAGACTGACAATTTGAAAGAACAGCTGTCAGTACCAAATTGAATCCAGTCCCATCTAAATATAATTGCATCCAATATTTATCTGACACAAAGAGAAAGGGAGGTAAGAGAGCAGCTGCGAAGTGTAAGCAGCACACCTAAGAAGGGTCTGTCAATAGATTTGAGAATAATGAATGTGTTATATTCTCCCTTATTTGATATTCTCTCAAGAATGTGGCTATGGTACCAACATATGTTCCTTTATGTAATGTTGTTAAACAATCACTGGGGAGGCAGGTGATAGCAACTTTGATTTCTGCTCACCTTGATCCCCTCAAATATTTTCTCTCCATCCCATCTGAGAGGACTGGGATCTCTCTGCTGCATAAGGTTTCTTTGTCTCCTCTGTTCTCAACACCACACACACTTTATTGTGTTACTGTGACGTCCGTCGTGACTCTTCCACTCACTCAAACCTCATGGCTTTATTGCCACGTGCAGGTGGAAACTATCTCCTGCCTTTCCTGTTTCTGGGTCAGATAAAGATGAAAAATGTCCCATTTATTATCCACAGTCTTGGTTATCAGTCATCCAAGTGAGATCAAGCCACTATGTCCAACGTATTCCACACAGTACCTTGCCTTATCCATAAATATTCTGAAACAATGATCTAATTGTTGTCCAATGTCTTCCAAGTCATAAAGTTTTCTTGGTTTATCTTTTAATCCAAATGATATTCAAATATTAAATCGCAAGTCCTCATCTGACACCATAGCACAATTGTTTGCGTTCAGCCCTGTCCCCCTGACTTCTCTCAAGCTGCACATTCTCAGGTCCAGCTTGGCTACCTTACCAGTCCACCTGTCCTCCCTGAAGCATGCCTTCAAGTAGTAAAGTGACTGCATTTGCAAGAATCTGTCCTTTCACCTACCTAGCTCTCTGGCTTGTTCCAATCATACCCTAGGAGGTCCTTTTGGATTCTGTCTTCCTGTTATCATAAACCACATCTTACCATATGTACCACTACAATTGTTTACAGGTGTGTTCCTACAAGGTTTCATGTGTCATCTACTACCGCTCAAGAGAGTGTTTTGGGAACAGCAGGAAACCAGTAAATACTTGTTAACCACCCTGCAATCTCATGACTGTGTGAAGCACTTCCCATATCAGTGCATGGTCTGAGCTCACGGTCATTCTTACATGCATGCTTTCTTTTCACCCAATACTCAAAATGACTGTTTTATTTGCAGCCAGATGTCTACAAATAACCTTTGCTTGTATCCTAATAGCGAGTTCAAATATCAATTGTCATCACCAAACTCTTGCTATGTTCTCACAGTGTCCTTTTTTTGTCTCTCCAACTCCAGTTGCTGAGGACATCACTGACTGCAAGCCTTCTGTCTCACACACAATCTCACAAGAAAGTCTTCTCAATCCTGGATCTCACCACTTCTCTCTCCCTTCCTGCTACCATTTGATGATATGCCTCCACTGTCTCTTACTAAGCCCACCACAATTGTGACCTCCAACTGAGAGTCCTGTTTCTCCTCAAGCCCCACAATCCCTTCAGCATGGCAACAACTGAGACTAAGAAGCCAACAGACATGATCATAACCATGGCCTTTACTGTCTTAGTATGTTTTTACCTCCCACATTTGTGTCTCTCGTTATTAAGTTTGTGCATTTGGTCTGGTTTATTCAGTAACTTACCCCTCTCAAGGATGACAGAAATTTTTATATGGTAGGCTCACTTCCACATCCCTAGTTCCTGCCACACATGAATCACCTAGTGCATATTTCTCAGATTAGTAAGTGGAGTCCATTGCTTTCTTAAACCAAATATGTCATTGTGGCCATTTGACGTGCTGTGGATTCTGTGGGTGACCATGGTAGCTTGCATTGCTTTCTGGTTTTTCACTTCTCTGTGCCTTCATTTTTCTTTAGAAACTTGGTTTCTCCCTCTTCCTTCTAGTTACAGCTTCTGTGTGCTTCCTGATAATGCCAGATCACAGTCATCTCTGAAGATATAATCTGTTTGGCTAAAATCGCTTCGCTCCTGCTTGTGAATCATGAGCTCTTTGATCTCAATGTTCTTTCTAAGTTATTTTCAACTAAGTTTCAGTTGCCAGCAAAATCTGAATCAGAAGCTAGGGGCCATTCATACCTTGCTAAGAAATCCTCCAGAAAATATTTACTGAATATTGTCACTAATTATTTTATCAGAAATTCATGTTCTGCCTTTTAAATATTTACAAGTTAGCTAATCACGAGGGGGCTGTCATTATAAAAAGGTCTATGTGCCAGCATGCTGCTGTGGTCATTAAAGCCTTTCTTTCCTCTTCTCTTTTACTGAGAAATAGAAGAGCACAGAAAAGAATCAGGGGAAATGAGCAGTCGGGGGAGTTTCCGCGAGAGGCCTTTCAGAGTAACTTCATGGAATCCTGGCTACAGTAGCCAGTCCTCTGAATCCACACTGTCTGGGTAGCCTCTTAGAACTTCTATAGTACACTTACATAGAGAATGATTTACAACATACAGATGAGTAAAGCAAGGAAAAAATGTTCAATTGTTCTTGGGATAGCTTTTGAAACTCTTCACAACTCTTCAAATTCAAAACACAGAAACAAGGGGGGCATGACAGATAATGGGAAAGAATTTAAAAGAATATAGAATCATTAAGAAAAGAGACACATGAACAATAGCCTAATTAAACAGCAACAAAAACAAAAAGTCATTATGTTACTGACAGCTCATTCTAAATGGGTACAGATTCTGCACAGCGATATTATTTAGCATTTGGATGCTTAGAATATGGCAACCATCACGAACAGTTCTAATAAAATTGTGTCTTAATTCCTAGCTGGGTCTTGAGATGAACCATGATTCACTACTTCAAATGGTATCTAGGGCTAGTGAGAAGGCTCGGTGAGTCAAAACTTCTTGCTGAGTCAAGTGAGGACCTGAACTGACCCCCATATCTACATGTTCTAGTTTCATGTATATTGTTTTAATGAATTGCCCTGACAACGGGCAGTTTGGGGGAGAAAGGGTTGCTTTACGTTTAACCCACAATTCCAGGTTACAATCCATCAGATTCAAGGAGACAGGGACTTCAAGTCGCTGGTCCCCTCACTCCAGTCCACAGGGGAAGGAAGCAGACACATGCATGTCCATTTGTTGGCTAGATTTGTACTCATCTCGAATGATTTTTTTCACTCACATCATTCAGGACTCCCTTCCTAGGGAATATTGACCTCCACAATGTCCTTGCTCTTCCACATCAATTAATTTAATCAAGATAACCCCCCACAGACATGCTCACAGTCCAGCCCATTGTAGACAATCCTTCATTGAAACTCTCTTCCAAGGTAACTCTAGGTTGAATCAAACTCACAATTCATCACAACACATCAAGAGCCCAGTGTGGAAGACATGCTTGTGACCTCACTGGGGGCAAAGACAGAAAAATCCTGGGGGCTTGTGCCAGCCAGTCTGCACGTCACATAAGCAAGCACACCTTCAAACAATATGTCTACCCCATTTACATAAGTAAATTAAAAATAAGATAAATCTTTCAAAGTTATCTGAAAGTATTAGCAGCATATAATAGTCAGTGCCTATCACCCCAGCACTTGGGAAGATAATGTAGGATACCATTACTCTGAGGAAAGCCAAGGCTGCACGGTGAGTTTAAGGCCAGCCTGAGCTGCGTAGTGAGACCTTCCTTGTCTAAAAACCCAAAAACAGTAGATTTTTTTGAAGTTGTAAATTAAACATGTCCGCCTTGCATTTTAAGATGAGCTCTGGAGAGGAAATAATATGCTTGAGACAGACTGTCTGGTTATACTACCTCTAGGACAAAGCTGGCTGCGAAACTATGAGTTAAAAACCAAAGTTCCACGTGTTCTCTGTGTGCCTGAGTCCCGTGTTTGCGGAAGTACATTAACCAAAACAGTTTATGGACTCAGATATCTAAGATCACACTCTTGAGTGGATGGCCATATTTTGGAACTCTAGATAGACTTTAAAATGCATGTATTAAGAGTTGGCTAGACTAATTAATCAAATAAAAAATTATACTTTCATACGTCGATTACTGTATGTGTCTAACTATTTCTATATGTTGTAGCCAAATGCTTTTTATGGAGCAAGGGTCCATGATGTATATTTTTTTAGTTCCCAATGAAGAAACTAGTGTGTCCTTTATAAAAGAATAATGCAAGTTGCATTTAACTAATAGTAATTTCTACACAACTTAATCATTAAATGCATTTTACAAGCTATGTAGACTTCACATAGATGGATTTTAAATACAGTCATTTAAAAATTTACATTGCTTTCAGTTCACATTTCAAGTAAAATGATAATTTCCCATAGTTACAGAAGTCATGCCTCGTATTCCTGTAGGAATAGTACTTATGACAATTTTTCCTCATTCTGTTCTCATATAATCACTTTTGGGGAGTATGTCTTTTTTACAGAGAAGGAGCATGGGTTCATTTAAGGAAAATGACAAATTGCAATGTTGTACAGCTTACGTGGGGACAGAGGTAACCCTTAAACTGTGCATCCTGAATTTTCCTTCAGCCATCTTTTTGCTCAGTCTCTGTCTGAATTCAGTACTTTTTGATTAGGCATAAGATAGCTCTGATTCAATTTTATGTTTGCTTCTTTAATTGCGTCAATATGGTTCCTAGTCCCCCGGTGAAGTTTCTTCATCAGTGGAGCAGGTCCGAATACTGACGTCATCCCTTTGATGCATTCCAAAGAGCAGAGTGGAAAGGCGGAAGAGAATCGCTGCGAGGACAACACGCATTTCTCTGCTGGCATCACCAGATCTCAACTGTACAAACTTCACTCCCTCTCTGAGCCTCACACTTCTAATGTGTAAAAGAAGGAAATGATAATAAAGAACTGGCTTCACAGGTTTGAAAAGTTGATGAAATAAAACATTTATGCACAAAAACAAGCAAAAATGTGTAGTTTCACATATTTAGAAATTGAACTCCATTCAAGAGCTCTAAAAGAAGCCAAGACAGTATGCCTTTCTCAAACAAACAAATGTGCTGCATGCCTCTTCTGCCTCTTCTGTGCAGGATCTTAAACAGACATGAACGAATACAAACGTACCCATTTTCACTATCATTAAGATGCAAAGCATGTGGGATGCCCCACTGTGTCCTATGACTCCTACTATTTGCCCTGAATGCAAATAATATGCACAGAGACATGCAGATAAGGGAGCAAATATGTGCAGGAGTCTCCAAGGGATGAATACTCAGACACGGGCACGTCCTCAAGCAGAAATATGTTAAGAGGGCATTGCAGCAAAGATAAAATTAGAGGAATAATGGAGAGGATCAGGTGAGATTACTCTCATGCAGGCAGGGTTCTTTGATTGTTCAAGTTTTGAGAGACATGGAACAACTTCTGAACATCCATTGTATGAAATATTACTTGTAGTGGGAGACTGCTCTTTTGCTTCCCAGATGCCCAGATCCAAATAATCACACAGAAACTACACTAATTACAACACTGTTTGGCCTATTAGCTCAGGCTTCCTATTAACCAGCTCTTACTTGTTAAATCAACCTATTTCTATGAATCTGTGTATCACCACGAGGCTGTGGCTTACCAGGTAAGGTTCTGTTTGGCATCTTTCTCCTTGGGCAGCTCCACTGCATCTCTCTGACTCTACCTACTCTATACATCTCTTCCAGCCTGGGTATATTCTGCCCTGCTATAGGCCAAAGCAGCTTCTTTATTAACCAATGGTTAAAAAAAAAACACACATTCACAGCATACAGAGGGGAATCCCTTATCAGTTGTTTGATTTGCACTTTATTGTGATATAAGGCTGATCTTTTAAGATCTTAATATAAAAGAGCACGGGAGGCAGCATTCAACATAGCTCTCAGTGGCCCCACCTCTTGCTATCCATGCTTATTTTGTTTGTTGGTATCATCTCCTTGAGCGTATGCTGTAGTTGTTGACTTGTTCTCAAGCAGCTGAATACCAAAGCCTAATGGGAGCTCATAGCTGAGAACGGGAAGCACAAGCCTCTGTTTCTATCTAGAGTGGCATTGATATCTCTTACTGTCTTGCTGACTTGGCTCTGAGCAAACACAGCTACATGTCGCTGAATCTCGTCTCTAACTAAGAGTTTATAAGAAACAAAGGGCCCTCAGTCCATCAATATGCAAGAATAATAGCATACCTGCCAATCATGAAGGCAAAATTAAAAGGAAATTTTCCCAGTTGAAAACTCAACTGGCAGACACACCTTCAGTGTGACTTGTGCCACAAGTACTTGGCTTAGATAAACTCAGATTTAGATCCACAGAGACTACGAGATAACAAATGATGTTGCTTTATATCACTAAGTTTGGGATGGTTGTTAGGAGGTAGCAAATAACTAACCTATAACAGAACAGTTGGAAACTACAAGACTGGCAGTTGTGGGCAAGCAGAAATATCCATGACTTGAACCAGTTTAGATACAGGGAAAATGACGAGATTCCAGAACTGTTTCTCGGTTGTTTTGCTTTAAAAAAAAAAGTTTTCTATTTGTCATGTACAGGAGAGATACAGGTTGGAGAGATAGCTGTACATGAAAACCAAGTGTTCAGGGAACAAGATCCAGATAGAATTAAAAACCTGGGGTTATAAATATTATGCAACATTTACGATCAAGAGTAGTAAATAGTCCTAGAACACAGTGGTGTTTCAAAACTGGGAAAAAGACACATGACGAAAAGAGAGAGCTAAAAGAAGACAGTGTCTTCTGGATGACACATGAATAAATCAGTTCACCAGCACGAAAGGAACTCACTGAAAGTATCCACAGAGACCACAAAAAACTTGAACATGATAGATGAAGTGAGTAAAAATCTAGTTCAAGTTGTCCCTTCAAATAGAAATAGTGTCTATATTCCTTCACTATGATTAAGTCATCTTCTACCTGCAAAGCTCGTGAGTAAATGTATAAAAAAAACAGTTCTATTCTTTGAAGACAAAGCCTTCCATTTGAAATAGACTTACTATCCAGAGTCTTGTGAATCAAACTTTCAAATTAAGAACTAAGCTTTCAAAACAATAGCCACTGCATTCTTGATACACACCAAAATGTCTTCTAGGTCCTTCCACCCCAGGACTCATTTCTGCCAAATAAGCAGATAAACAAAGGAACAGCATATTTTGTAAGGTCTTTGCTTTGTTATTGCTGCTGGCCATCCTGTTGAAACACGATTTGTGGTCCTACAATTTATGCATTGTTTTAAGTACAGACCAATCTCATTTCCAAATGTCACCCCCACTTTTCTCGTACTTCCTTGAACAGTGCCATCCTCTAAATGTTAGTCAGTGGAAATCCTTACAAGAGGATTGAAAGTGATTTCCACAGAAGCTGAAGTGAAAAGGAACAATTCATTAACTGTGGACTGCGACGCAGTCTCTCAAGTTTACGGCTAGTAGATGGCACATTAAGGCGCAGATGCTAGAAATCTGAAATAAGCGGCACAAGTGAAATAATTACACAAGGAGTGCTAGGTCTAAGATTTGTCACACTCTATGAACAGTAATACAACACACAAATAGAAAAGTCAAGGTTCATTGGGAAAGAGATAAAAATAAATTGTAAATATTATGAAATTGACAAGTGCCATATGCAATACAAAACTTGAGAGAATTATACAATATTTGATTACCTGTCCGATGTATACTTTGTTCTACTTTCATTTCTCTTGCTTTGATGAGATTCCCCTGAAAAAAAAAAAACAGCTTAGCAGAGAATGGTTTGTTTAGTTTACAGTTCCACCATTGTGGGAAAGTGGAGACAAGAACTCAAGTAATAGTTACATCATACTTTAATCAAGAGCAAAGAGAGACAAAACAATAGTTTGCTTAGTTTCTCTCTACTAGTTTTCTCCTTTTTTATGCCCTTCCTAATGAATGTTGCCACCCACCATGGACTGTTTTTTTTTTTTACATCAATTAAAAATCAAGATAGTCCCTGCCTTTCATGTCCACAAACCATCTCCATCTATGTAACTCCTTATTAAGACTTTTTAAGGGGTGATTCTAGATTTTGTCAAATTGACAGTTAATACTAACTAGCCTTATACGTGATCTGAGCAAAGCCAGGAGTGGAGGTACACACCTTTAATCTCAGCCCTCTGGAGGCTGAAGTAGGCAGATCTCCTTGGGCTCAAAGCCACCCTAGTCTAAAGAGTGAGTTTCAGGACAGCCAGGATTGTGTAGGGAAACTCTGTTTCAAAACAAAACAAAACGTAAACCTAATTGTACATCCTTGTTATACAATTCCTTTTCTGTTGGTTTGTTTGTTTGGTTGGTTGGTTGGTTGGTTGGTTGGTTGGTTGGTTGACTAGTCTTTGCTTTCTCACCACAGTGATTTTGCAACATGATTACTTAGAGACATAAAAGAGAGAGTTTAATCTTCCCTATAACTCATGACACAAAAATTATTTTATTGTGACTGGACGAATGTCTTCCTGACTTACCCCTTGTTGACAACCATTATTTTTCAGCTTTCTAATCAAATTTGGTGAAATATTTCTCAATTTCTTTCATATATATGTATATATATTTCAAATTTCTCAAAGAATGCTGCACTTTCTTATAATTAGCAGTAAATTGCTATTTAATATTTCCTTAAGAAACACCTGTTACAGTAAATTATCATTATAAACCATTGTTATGCACTGAATTTGTCATGTTAGAATAATTTATTTTGAGGTCATTTATAGTGCTTAATTGTGTTTCCTTCACATTGCATTCATTTTTATCTTACACTGCTATATATAACGTGAAGATGTAAAGAATAGATTGCATGTACAGTCACAAAGTCGGAAGCTTAGACTTTTTTACTTTGTTGAAACATTCTAAAATGACCTTCAAAACTGCCTTTATAGTGTGTGACATTGACATAACTTCCCCATAGACAGGCTTCAAAAATCCCCATAGCTTGCACCACCAGCTGACACGGGACATTGGTACCTTGGGGATGTTGAAGTCAATTATGTCTCAATATGTAAGGTTATGCCCTTTATGAGAAGATACACACAGTACACAACCATGTGAACTCTCATAGAGGGATACCCAAGAAGTCCCAGTTTCATGGAAAATCAACCTATAATTAAATGGATAGGAAACACAGAAAGATTTAAATTATAAATTTGAGTTCCACAGTCTTGAGATGAAAAAAGTTAGGGGGGAAAAAAACATGACAAATTATTCCATTAGAATTCTAGACCTTTTCAATTTCTCTTTTAAATTCATGGCAAATCAAGTAAGCTGACACATTAGTCACTGGAAAAGGATAATTTATGTGGTATAGAAGCATCTCAGGAGCATTTTACCCCAAACCCTTTTCAACTTTGCATTATTTGTGGTTTAACGCAAATACATAATTCACTCATCGGCTGATTCATCTGTCCTTTCTCCCCATTCTCTACCATCTTAGCACGACATACTGTCATATAGAGACCGAAGATACATGCTGTTCCCCCCGGGTCACACTCTAATCAGGGTGACAACCAAGTCAACAAAGGACAAAAACACATTGAAGTAAGTGCTGTAAAAGAAATAAGGTTAATTGTATTAACCCTGGGTACACAAGTTATAGGTTGCACATTTGAAAAAACAGCTCCTTTGTAGTCTAGTATCCCCAGATGCTTCTTGTCTCTCTCTGTTGCTTAGTCCATTATGATGTTAACTGAGATGTTCTATTAAGCTTTCCCTACCATAGTGGATTCAACCACCTGAAACCATGGGCAAAAATAAATCCTAATCCTTCCTCTTTAAATTGTCGCCGGTTAGTATTTTGACAAAGCAAGGCAAAAATAACTAAGACAGACCTCTGACATAGTTTCTCAAAATATACTAATTTGGGCTATCTTCTAATACAATGGTGTTAGGACAGTGGGACCATGACACACCTGCTCAGGATTCCTATGTAAGCGTTCTAGAGATCCACGTCTCCCTTGTCTCTCTTCTCCTAGCCTAGTGTGACGGGCTCACATGAGATCACTTCTCCCATCTGATTTTAGTATCAGAAAACACACGCAGTGTCCTACATCCTAGGGTAGTACACAGGCTCCATCACTTAATAAACAGTATCCGGGGCACAGTTAAAAAAGAACATGGTGAGTAGATGATGACACTGTGGCCATCTTTGAAAAACACAGTCTGCTGTGCTCATTTTCCTATTGAATTGCAAGAACTGACTATTGGGAATTGATTTTTCCTCCATTATCTAATAATCTGGCCATTAGAAGCAAAACCATTGACTTCGAAACTAATTAAATATTTAGCTCTCTCTCTCTTTCTCTCTCTCTCTCTCTCTCTCTCTCTCTCTCTCTCACACACACACACACACACACACACACACACACACACTGCAGGAAAAGAGAGTCCTTAGATCTGCTTCTACTTCATGAGTGCTGAGATTAGAAACACACACCACTTCCAGAGCTTTTATTACATGCATTCTGAGGTTTATGCCCAGATTCTCATGCTTCTATCACAAGCACATTACTGTACTATGCCACCAGTCCATGGCTGACTTTTTAGTAGCTACTATTTGATGAATGAATGAAACTCTCCTGAGAACCTTGTTCTAGATTCCCCTTGTGAGGCCAAGTACTGTTTTGTGAAGGTTTTTGTGAGAGCAAAGCATACAGGCAGATGCAAGGCTTCTTCTGCCAGAAGTCATCTCAAGCCACTCTTTGGATTCCTTATTTAAGTTTCCTTGATCCTATACCAACACTCAGGGCTTTAAAGAGGAACAGTAAGAGACGGAAGTCAAACAGGAGAGTGCTAATGAGGCTAGCACTGAGCTAGGATGATTAAAGAAAGGATGGGGAAGGAGAAGCACCGATAATCTAAATGAAAGATGATCACATTCCACTATCTTCTCAAAGTTTGACCTTTGCTTCATCTATAGAATATCAGGTTTAACTACTTCCCATTCCCCTTTCAAAGTTCTCCTTTCTAGTTGATAATCAGAAATATAACTTCCAGGATAAACAGAAACTAACAGTCCCAGGTTATTTTAATCTAATTCTCTGAAATAATGTTTCATAGACTTGATGTAGTTTTACAAAAAAAAACCCAAAATCTCCTTTCCACATTTCCAAGTATGTCCATTCTTACTTCTTTTTTTTCATTCTTATTTCTTAAGACATTTTGTATTTGTTGAGACTAAGCTGCTCCCACAAAAGACCTACGAATGCAAAGCTTCAGCTCTGATAAATGATATAGTCAACAAAACAGAGTGCACTGGTTCCTGACCGAGAAACACATTTGAATGTTGGAATGGGTGACTGGGTTGAAGCATCCACAGGCCTTAAAGTCAAGAAAGGATATTCATGTAAAAACATTCTTGCTCACTCATGGTGCAAAGGGAGGTCGATTTTTGTGGGTTTGAGACTAGCTGGTCTACATAGTGAGTTCTAGGACAAGATTACAAAGGGAGAACCTGCCAATCAATCAATCAATCAATCAATAAGGAAGCCATGACTTGTTCTCTTCTGTAGAGTTTTGACTGGTAAAAATTTGGTTTTCAGAAAGAAATATACATCACTGATTATATGATTTCTTATTGTTTGATTTGAATCTATAAAGTATGCCACATGCTGACAGGTTGGGGGGGGCAACATATTAGTCTCTCTTTTTCCCTTTATCATGAATAGATTTTATAAAACATACCTTATCTGTCTTTAAAATTCATCAGTGTTAGTATTTATTCTATTCAGGAAAAGTCCTTTACTGTGGTTTGAATGTATCCACCAAAAAGTTCAGGTGGTAAACATTGAATTCCCGTAAGTCACAACCAAATGGCATTTGAAGGCAGGGACTTTCAGATGTAACTAGGGTTAGAAAAGGTAGGCTCCCCATGATGTCACTACTGACTGTAAAAGATGAGGAACAATGTTCCAAGCTAGTAAACCCACTTCCCCTCGATTTGGAATGCCATCTGCCTCTAAGGTGACTACAAGAAGCCCCTCAGGAGACACCAAGCAAATGTGGGCTTTATGTCCTTTGACCTTCCCAATCTCCAAACCAAAAGCCAAATAACCCTTTACTCTCTAAACTACTCAGGCTATTGTACTCGTTTACGGGAACTGAAAATAGACTCACATATACTTTTATAAACTTGAAGCATTGCTGTTTTTATGGTGTGTCACAGAGATTAAGGAGGCTTCGTGTGCCCCGAGAAAGCTTTCCACTGTGTAAACAGTAGCCTAGGAGAAAGCAGAAATTGAAACGAAGCATAGTGTTCCTAAACAGCGATAGCAAACGAGGTCTATAAACGCATCAACTAGCATTTCTGAAACATCGTAAAAAAGGGAGTGTCTGGGTTACTTGGGAGCAAGAAGAAACACAGAACAGCACCAGGTCTTGGTAGGACATAGTCTATGTGGAGACAATTAAAGTTGTCTTGATCTGGGACGCCATAGGTGTTGAAGGTGAACTTAATACATCTGTGCTGGTCAAGCAGAGGAAAAGTAGAAGCTGCTGTTGAAACGCCACTCACAAAAGCTATCCAGGTGAGGCTGGAGTGAGGCTTCTCATCAGGACCCTGACAGAGCATCTGAGCTCTGTCTATGCCAGACTGAGAACAGACTAGCCATTGCTGCTTTCTCTTGAGAACCTTAAGCTTTACACAGACGTAGAGATGAACGGGGGTAAGCAGTTGCCTTGGTCCATAAAGTAGTCTTCCACGAACAGGAGGTCTCAAGTATGATTTCCGGCACCGATGAGAAAATGTCATGGTGAGAGACTGCACTTGCAATCCCAGCCTTGGAAAAGCAAGCTAGGAGGATCCCTGGGGGTTACTGAAAAGAAACAAGTTAGACATCTCCTGAGATGGGACATCTGAGACTGACCTCTGGCCTCCACATGCACATTTATACATACACATACACACACACACACACACACACACACACACACACACACACACACGAGGGATGGTATTAAAGCAGTTTTCATTAGAAAAGAAAACTTAAGCAATTCTTTGAAAATCCTCCAAACTCGACAAATGTTATAGCAATTTCTTTCTCTTTGCTTTGCTACTAAATGATCATAGTATTTAAAGCTTAGTCTAGTGGGCAGGCAATTTATCTCTCTGATTATTTGACTTCACAATAAAACAATGGGGCTTTAAACTGTTATAAGCAGACATGATGAGGACATGAGCTCTTATTTTGGAATGATCCAGATGATCTGAGTCTAACTCAAGCTCTCTCCCTAACTGTATGACACAGGGCAACTTACTAACTCTCTTGAACTTGAGTACTCCATTCATAACCTAAAGATAATAAAAGCTCCCTTTGTAACTGTCTTAAGAACTAAAGACACCCATACATCAAAACACTTTGTAAAATAGGAGGCCCCAGGCAAGTGTTCTCCACGTTCTGTAACTGGACTGACTTTTACATTCAAGGTCATCTGTTAGGTGTCAAAGGTGAGGCCAATAACACCAGATCACTCTGACTAACACATTGAAAAGAATCATATTTAATTGCAACCTCAGTTAAGGGGAAGTCATCCAATTTAATCAGACTGTCTCTACAGAAATTCTCCAAGCGAGAACTAGTTCTAGGAGAGGCAGAAAACTTAAACGCTGAAACAGACTGAGTAGATGATGCCCTGAGATTTGAAAGCTGAAAGTAAAAGGAGTCCAAAGAGCATGCAGGTAAGCAACCTAAGAGTAGTCAGAAGGTGCATCGCCCTTGGGAGGGAGACTGCAGGGAGCACTGGAGGCTGTAGGAGAACGAGGAGGTACTGTGAAGGTTTACTCTGTCACTTTTCACATAGGCGAACTTTGAAATCAATCTTACTTAATTCCTGATATTTGAATGATGAGATAGACTCTAGATGTGAATACAAATTCTTTATTTTGGGAATTAAGAGAGTTGGTAGACTATTTGCCCAGTATGCAGAAAACTCTATGTCTGCTCTGCAGCAAGCACCAGCAGGCACAAATTTGGTGGTGGTGATGTGTGTGGGGGGGGGGTTGTAGTGTGTTCTTGTAAAGCCAACCTGTAATGGGTGGAGACAGAAGAATCCAAAGTTCACAGTTATCCTCAGCTACAAAGGGAGTTCAAGGATAGCCTAGGCTCAATGAGACCCTGCATCAAAGAAGAAAGAGGTAGAGAGAGAGAGAGGCCAAGATAGAGAGACAGAGACAGATAAGAGATGGAAGGAGGAAGGAGGAAGGAAAGATGGACATACCAACAACAGAAAAACTAAGATCAGTTTTGGACATGAACTCATATTTACACTGAAATAAATCTGGTACCAATAGTAGAGTTTGTAAGACAAGTGTGGATTCAGATTTGTTTGTGGGTTTGGATTCTCCAAAAGTGAGAAAGAAGCCATGAGCTGAGCATGCAAGAGTTGGAGCTGAGTTGGTGCCATGTTCACTAAAATGGAGTCAGTTGTGTGGAATATGGGTGTTCTGAGGCTATCAGAGACAGAAGTCATAAGAAAACCAAAAGCCCAAGTCGAGCCCTGGTCATTTATGGGAAATGACCTCTGATACCATCTTTCCTTCTATGAAAATGACCTTTTCCCCCACCTTCCCCACAACAACTTGCTAAACATTTCTTAAGTCATTAATGCATCAATATGAAACTGATACCTGTCACTCTCCCCAGCATCCACAATACTAAGGGAGTTTGGACAATAGATGAGTATAGAGAAATGCATGTTGATGGTCATATTCATCGAAGATCAGCCGAGCCACTGTGACCCCCGACTCTCCCAAAGAAATGAATGTGCAGCTGAGTTCTGCTATCTTTACAACAATGTATTCATGATGCTTCCGATAACAAAAGGAACAGTGTGCACAAAAATAAACAGCGCTATAAAACAAAATTAAATCCTACAGACAGAAAGATTAAGTTTGATTATGGAAAAAATACTGGCTTACTCAGAGAATGACAATTTTAATCTGTTTCTTTTTTCCTCTATATTTTATTTACCTATTGTTTTTTGGAGGTGATGCTAGAGATTGGACCCCAAATCCAGGACCTTTCACATGATAGGCACTCTAAAACTGAAACATTCCAAGGGAGATTCCTCGCTGTTTATGCCAATATCTTAGAAATGACACTAAATAAAGCGGTGAAAATAGAGTCTGTCAATCTGTGTTTTACTTGTACACAGGGCTGGCCTATGTGCAGGAAAAAAAGAAGCAACGCTAGCAGTGTTAATAATACATGGATTGTTTTGGGCATTTTTCTCTATTGTAATTACATATTGCAGGTTTGAAACATTCAAACTAACTCTTTTTATCTAAACCACTGAAAGTACAGTCATTGCTTCTGTTAGCATTTTCAGCCAAGATGAGCTGTGGGTACAGAAGTAAAAGAGAAATGGGGAGGCTTACAGGAAAAAAAAAAAAGCATTCTTTCAGTTGGCAAGTAGATATTTGCAATTATAAAGATGATGTAAAGATACAAACATGAGTGGGAAAGATGGCACAGAGATGTTTTCTACACCCACATTTTTTTACATACCCTCTAAAAATTCTGTAACTCCTGTTTTACTGCCTCAAACATATCTTAATACTACTATTGGACTTATGTCAGGCTAACAAAGGCACTAGTTAAGTACACAGAATAACCAGATGTTCAAATTGATTCACTTAATTTAGTTACACGTGTTTATGAAGAGGCTACTATATATGGCAGGCACAGTAATAAACTTAGGGAATCCCTGACCACCCATGGTCATCTATGATCTTGCCCACAGTCAGTTTTTCCTTCTGCCTGCATTACAAACCTTCTTATCTAATTCTTTATGAGTCAAGCTTGGCTTGAGGAACAAGACTGTTTATGTCTGTGTTCAGCCATTGGTGGAGTACCATTGTGCAGATTGGAGAGTTGGTAGGTAAAGTCAGAATGGAAGTGATATGCAGATGTTGTGAAGAATGTGGGGAGGTTAGCTCATGCCTGGGAAACTTTAAGCTTTGAAGCCTCGTCAGTCCTAACCTGACACTGGCATCTGAGACTCAACATGACCAGGAAATTCTCCTAGAGAGAAGACTATCTGTGGCTTCACTGGAACTTCCCCTTCTGCTCTGAAGGCCTTGGAGTGGCTGGAGAGGGTGGAAAACAAATGCAATGAACGTGAGGCTGCATTCTGCAAAGCCCTTTGAGGCTGTGATAATGATCTGGTAATAATGGCTTCCCACCAAGTAATTCAAGGTATTTCACAGTTTGTCTGGTTTAACCAGTTAGGGTTGAGGAGAAGTACACCCTTCAGTGAGGTGAGGCATCTTGGAATGAGGCCTGGCCTTTACTGATAAGCAAAGTGGGGATGTGTCCTCCACCCCCATGAGGGTCTTTGCACACATCAGCCAGCCCGCATGAGTCACTTTCAACCCAAATTATATGCTCAAAAAGAAACCCTCAGCATGTATTCTCATTCCTCACCTGTTGCCAGAATCTGTCATTGAAAGCGAGCGAAGGGTATTTACGTTTTTAATCACAGTACTCCATATCTTAGTGTTCAAATTCTGTCCTGGTTCATCTGAGGCCTGCACGGAGCTCCCTGTGACGTCAGTAATAAGTCACCTATTTATCTCTACCCCCGCGGCTGCTGATCTGAAAGCAGAAATTTTAAGAGAAAGAGCATTAGAAATTCATCGCTTTCTTGTGTGTACAATTAGTAAGAGGAACAACCCAGAAAGAGGTGGAAAGGCAGAGGGAAAGTCCTCTGAGACACCTGGGTTTATGTAACTAACTCACTCACTCGGTCTAGGAATTCAATGGAAAAGTTAGAAATGCCTCCCGCACATCAGATCAATGTTTTTATAATCAGAAATGTTCTCAGTGCTAACACACACCTTCAGTTAAAGACTGCCGCAGCGAGTTACCAAGGGATAACAGGTCCAGACTCCGAGTTAACAAAACATTACCTCATCCACAAACAACTCCATTAACTGTTCAGACCCTAAGGTCAAAAATCCTTTTTCTAAGTTTCTGGAAGTTTCTCCACTTTCAAAGCAATTACAGACGTGACCTTTCTGTCTCCCTAAGAGCAGACAGCGCAAGGCAACTTTGTCCTAATCAATATAAGGAGAGAATCTCAGGACTTCTTTAGGATGTCTGAACAAAGAGGAACAGTGTAATTTAAGAAAAACACGAATTCAGACTTACATGGAGATAAATTTGAAGGGAAAACACTCAGCAAGTGTTTGTGATGAAGGAAAGAAACTTCTAGAAGCTAAGAGAAATGGAAGCATGGAAATAAGACAGTTTGAAGGCATGAGCAATTTTTGGATGATTTGGGCATGACTCCCGTCAATTTAGAGGCAGAGAAACAAAAGTCATCTTCCACTTAGTTCAGATATCATGCCTTCCTTCTCTTCATAGTTAGAGCTCTGTCCAGACATCCTCTAATACAAAAGGAAAACAGTAATGACAGAGAAGGATACTGGGCCACAGTAGGGATAATCACATCAGGAGTTGATGCTGATATCATGGGGATGAATCAAAAACAAACAAACAAGCAAACAAAACAGCAATCCACCTGTTGAATGCATGCTTATCTGAGGGTAGCGTGGACACCATTTGTTGGAATGTAGTCATATAGATAAAGTGGCCGCCATATAGATAAGGTGGCCTGATTCAACTTCTCCTATCTCTCCAAGAGAAACTGATTGTTGGGTAGCTTCAAACGAAAGAAGAAAGCTGAAGGATGAGCAGAGTCCAGACTGTCTCATGCATGTGGTGTTCTTCTTCTGAGTAGGTACCAGACAGATAAGGAAGATGGGCAGCAACTTGGAGTAGACGTTTCGTTTCTTTGAACTATGTTTAATTGCAGAAAAGAACCTAATCTGCCTGCAAGGATCAGTCTGCTTGGGCTAATTCAAAGGTCTTCTAAAGATGAGCCCATAAGGACCTCCTGCAAAGCTGGGTCATTTCTCTAAAGAGTTCTATAACCATAAAAAGACTAACAAGCAAACAAAGGTGTGGTGTGTACGGCTTTAATCCCAGCAAACAAGAGGCAGAGGCAGGTTGTTCTTCCTGAGTTCCAGATCAGCCAAGGCTACACAGTGAGATCCTACTTCAAAATAAAAACAAGACAAGAAGAAGCAGAGGAGTCAAGGTCACTTCAATGTCCCTAGGTGTGAGAGGGAAAAAAAATAGATCTTTAGAGAACTAAATGATCCGAATGATTCAAAAAAAAGTATGCTAAGTATGCTCAGATATTATTTCATTGGAGATAATCTGACTGGACATATTAACTTTAAAGGGAGCAGAACTAAGTGGAAGAAATCTTTCCTTTAAAAGACACAGAGTTTGCATTCAGTCTTCTGTATAAAACTATCAGCATTGTTTTGTGTGTGTGTGTGTGTGTGTGTGTGCGCGCGCGCGCGCGCACACGCGCGTGCACGCACATACAAGTGTGCACATGTACACGCAGATGTTTGTGGAGGAGGCCAGGAGTCCATGTCACCTGTTTCCCCCATTTGTTCTCTTGTGAGCCTTGGTCTGTCACTAAACCCAGTAAATCCAGAGCTTACTTCTTTATTTGGGTTGGTTGGCCAGCAAGCCCCAGTGGTCCTGTGATTTCCACCTACTTCCCACTTCCACCCACATTGGAACCACAGGCACACTCGTGACCTGAATGCAGGTCATTTTACAAATGAGATGGTCCAGCCCTTCTGATACCATTTATCTAAGTATAAGAGTCTCAAGAATATTAACATGACAACCTTGTAGACATGTGAAAGAGATGCTGTTGGCTTCCTTTTTCTTGCCTTCTTTACTTACTCACAAAATACTGTAACTTTGAGAGTTCTACTTTCACTTCCCTCCCTAAACATATCCCATTGATTTCATCCCCTGCTTTCTTCTGAAAAGCCACAGGTTGATTTTAATCCCCCCCTTTCCTTGTGACGTCATTCCTTTTCCCTTGCACTTTGCTGTCTTCATGCTTCACAGGAGAAACATTTTTATCTCAGGGACAGGGAAGTCTATTGACTTCTCCTTATCCTCATTATTGCTAACCCTTTCTTTACCTAATGGTTTCTTTGTTGTTGTTTCCTTGTTATTGCTTGTTTGTTTGTTTTCCTTGTGGGCATTGAGACATTTTTCTATTTCGATCCTCAATTCCATATTCCCTTTAAGCAATACTATGCACCCATGGTTTCTGCCCCAGCAACCCCTCAACACCTCTGCCAAGTCCGGTCAGTTTCGCTTCCTTTCCAGGGCACCAGCTCCAAACACTGTTTCCAGTTCTCCAGCGAGAGCCTATTCTCACCTTCAGTCCACTACCCTGGTGGTTTCCACGTTGCTCTTTCCTGGACTCAACGTATTTGGAATTCCCCGACATTATGATACCCTCCATTTCTCTATATTTAGTGTGCCTGCACATTAGAATCACACCTCCAATTTTTAGTAATCTTTGTAAGGAATAGCGAGAATGTTTTTGTAAGACAATCAGTTCTGTGAACAAAAGAAGATTCTTCTGAAGCCACGTTTTTACATCAATAGTGCTGCCTCCCTTTCAGTCTTTCTAAGCCATGAGCCAAAGTTGCATCCCTTAGTCAAAACACTATTAATTGATTCCAGTTAACACAAAAGTGACATTCTAGTTTTTATTCTGTATCGGACTTGCCTAATTTATCATTGTTATCTCGCCAATGTTTTGAAAGGTGAACAATGGCTGAGTCATATAATCCTATGAAAGCAAAGTATCTCTGTGTTTGAGAAGTTGGCCTCAGACAGGAATGGTCTTTGCTGTGCTGGTTATCAACCTCCTGCCTCAGAACTGCATCCTGCCTTTTACCTTCAGCTCTGCAAAGCTGGAGGCAGGACTCTGCAAACTGCATCCAGTAAAATCTTCCTAAGCAGGGGACACTAGAAAGATGCTGCAAACTGGACGGGGACTCTAGTTCCTGCTTGCGGTCTGTAAATTTCCTGTTGACTTCCTGTTTCGATGAGCGTCACGCTAGTGAAGATGCACTGGAGGCCAACCCTTCTCTAGGGCAGGATTCGGCTCCAATTGTCCTGATTTGTAGCAAACCATTTTCCCCTGGCACCTGAATTCATCCAAGGATGCTATGCTGTGGTCCCTTTGTCATGTCTGGGAATGTCACAGATGCACCAGTCCAGTGTCTGAGCTCTTCATGCTGACTGCTAAGTCTTTCATGGCAGCTGCTGCATCGTTGTTCAGTTCTTTTGATGATTTATAGCTGTACTTTAATGCATGTCCACAAAGCTCTGTCTCCTTGCTGATTTCCCGATTATCATCGCCCATTGTACATAAACTATATGTGATTGGTGTTCCCAAGATTCACTTTTCCCTCTGTATCATACAGCCATGGTGGACATGGAAACAAGGCCATGTATGCTAGATAAATATTAACTCTAAATTTGTATGTTGTGACTCAAACAGTAGTTCCCTCTGCAGGAGAAAGAGGATGGATGGAATCACTAAATCCCAGAAAGAAAGCAGAAGGGAAAACTGAGATCATAGAACCTCACCCCCATGAGTCATAGCAAAGTTTTACAAAGCGAAATGTAGTTGAATAGCAAGCAACATGAAGGTCCTCATAAAAAGCCGAACCAAAATCTAAATGTTTGGTACTAAAATTAACAGGAAAAAGGAAAAAAAACAGCAGAAGCAAAGTTTTCAGACACTTCCCTGAAGTAAAGCATGACCTGAGATGGAGAGATGCTGTCTAGAGAACTATGGAATGACGGAGCATGAGATTGGAAAGGACTTATGGGGGAGAGAGATGGAATCAACAGCATTCTAGAGCCAAAAGATACCTCTTAAAAATAAAAAGAAAGAAAGAAAATGTTAAGGTTTGACAGTGTGAAATAAATATATTTGTCATGCTTCAATTAATTTATCAGAGCCCTAATTCTCAATGTAGCTGTATTCGGAGACAAACATTTTTGTAATAAAGGCTAAATGAGGTCCGATGGGCGGGGCCCAGATCAAATAATTAGTGTCCTTGAAAGAAGAGACAAGAGAGAGCTTGATTTTTCTCCTCCATGTTGAGGACCCTCTTAGGAATGCAGTCTTTAAACTTGGCGGTGGCGGTACACCTTTAATCCCAACACTTGGAAAGCAGAAGCAGGCAGATCTCTGTGAGTTCGAGGCCAGCCTGGACTACAGAGTGAGTTACAGCACAGTCATTACACAGAGAAACCCTGTCTCAAGAAACAAAAAAGAATGCAGTCATTAATAATTAAGGAAGAATGCTTTCATCAGAAACCTAAAGGAAGTTTTAAGCTTGTATTTACAGACTCCAAAACTGTGAGAAATGAATTGTTCTTGTTTAAAACACCCAGCCTGTGATGTCTTGTTGTGGCAATCAAGCCTTCTAGGATCACCGGAAAACAGGTTTTGTCACAGCTCTGTTTATATGGCTAAAGAGTGTGCTTAAACATTGTTTCCTAACCAGTTCTTACAGACACTGTCTTCAAATTCTTGATCTTCACAAATCTTATCAAACAGATGCTACCTGACTTTGATACTAAGCCTTCTGTAAAGTCTAGAATCTTAGCATGAAATTGAAAATTTAGGCTAGCTGATCATTTGCAAATATTATAAGATCAAACCAACTAAGCGTACAATTTTGGTTAAAAAAAGTAAGAAAATCGACTCATAAAAATTAAAACACTTAGAAATGATCGTAAGGCTACTATAGCGAATAGTGCTGTTCTAAAGTTCATTGTTTTACTATGCATAAATTATTGTGCTTAAGACATGCTTTTGCATATGCTTATTCTTATAGTATCCTGTGTGTGTAGGTGTGTGCTTATATATGTGACTGTGTCAGAGAACAGGAGCTGATGTCTTTCTTGATTGTTCTCCACGTTAATTTTTTAGAACATAGTCTCTCACTGAATATGGAGTCACCAACTTGACTAGAATGGCTAGCTAGAGGCCTCTGGGCATCCTCCTGTTTCTACCTCCCCCGAGCAGGATCACAGGCTTGCTCTGCTCTACCTTCATTTTTACACAGCTTCTAGAGGATTAAATTCAGGTCCTTATGGCTGTGCTGCAAGAACCATCTCCCCAGCCATCACTTGCTTCTTGAAAACGGTCATTATAATATCTTCAGTGCCAGGATAACTTAAAACATTCCTCCCGTGGAGCTTCTCCAGCTCTTGGGAGTTCTTTTTAGCTTTTACTGAGTAGATCTGCATTTTTTCTGCTTTCAAGTGGGATGGGAGAGGAGGGAAGAAGAAATGATAAGCTAATAATGCAAGGCACAGAGAAATTAAGTAAATTTCTGAAGCTCAAACTATTTTAAAAGGATTGAGTGTGAGTTTGCAACTGAGGAGTATGACATTCTAGTTAGCTTCTTAATCATCCTCCCAGACTCTGGGAGGGCTGTTCGGTTGTTCTGGTGTTGCTCTGTATCTTTGCCACACATGATATGGTATCACGGTACTACAATTTATCTTTACGCAGGGAAGATACTATGAATGCCACATTGCATGAATAAACTCTGGAAATCATCCAAAAGACTGGGAAATCTCCTTTTGCGTCTTCCTTCAAGTGTGCTCTGAACCATTATTACAGTGGGCTAAGAGTCCACTGTACCAGGGAGAACCATCTAATCTAGACAATGTGTGTCTTAGACGATTTGAAAGAGTAGTTCAGTTTCCTTAAACCAACTTTGCTGTTTCTCTCTCTCATTGTTCTGTGAAACACAGCATTCACGCCAAGGCGTCAACACTATCAGTTGTACTGTGAGATAAGATTAGCTTTGTGTGTGCCTTTATGTGTACTTGTATGTACACATGTATGCCTGTAAGGGTGTAGATAAACATTAGGTATCATTCTTCAGGGGCTTAAAACCTTCTGTTTTTGAGACACGGTTTTCATTGGCCGATTTCACAAGGCTAATAGGGCAGTGAAGCCCAGAAACCTGCCTGTCTCCACCTCACCAGTGTGAGATGGTAAGTACATGCTACCATACCCAGGTTTCCACATGCGTTCCACAGTTTGAACTCAGGTCCTCCTTATTGCATGACCAGCACTTTACCAACTGAACGATCACCTGAGCCTTAATTTTAGTCGATATGAACCAGAGAGAAATATACATATTCATTTGTAAATGTCTGTCATGGGCGTAACTATTTTTATTCTTCCTTGAGGTGCCCCAATCCTCTATATACTATTCATTGAGCAGAGCACATTGAGAATTATAATTTTGCACTGGAAGTTCAATATAGAATAGTTCAAACACTGTTTGCACCACATATTCCAATGCACTGTGTACATTGTTCTGCAAGTACCTAAAACTATTATTTATGAAAGCTCTGTCTGTCTGTGGGTCACATCCACAGAAATTAATAGAGATTAACACCCTTGAAATCTGACTTGTCATAAACAATCACGTGCCACTGCCAGGAGTAATATACCCATTACTTATTGAGCACAAGGAATGAACTGGGTAGTAGCCTACATATTTCATGTTTGTTAGTTCTTTTGCTTCTCACTATATGAGCGTGGCATTGGTTTTACCCACATTCTTGATATGTGTTTATATGAGTTTTTAATGTTAGTTGAAAGTCTCTTCCATGGTAACCAAGCCATGATTAGAAAACAGGCTGGCTTCTTCTCCAAAACGAACAGATTTTCTTACAACTTCCTTGCAATTCAAGAGAAGAATAAAGACATGATGATTTATTATGAGACCAATACTAGTTGAGAAGAGATATTCAACATTAGAAGAAAAATGAAAATAATAGTTTCCATAAAGCTATTAGAAACCACAACTCATTTCATTCTTGGAATATTATATAATTCTCTAGACAATGAGATCATAAACAAGAAAATCCCACAGGCAAAATCCCCGAGAAAGTCCTAAATATTTGTTTTAGAACTTTTAGATATATTTCTCTTTATAATTATGATCTCAGACAAGAGTCATTTGCCAATAAAAGATTTCCATGTAAGAAATATTGCTATAACAACAAGTATTAAAGTGCCAAAAGTGTTCTAAGGAAGTTGAGAACTTAAGTGTCTTTTTATACATCAACATAACAAAAGAAAATGACAGCATACTTTCTTGGAGAATTTTAAAGCATTAATTACATTGTCAGAAGTGAAGATTACATCATACAGGCAGCCTCTCCACTCATTCATAGATCAAACATTGTCTTGCTAATTTGAATATTAACCTGCTTGAATAATCAATTTTCATTTTGTTATATATTTTTCTTATGCAAATGAATCATACTGTTCCAAAGACACAGAGGTCTCAGAATAACTGAACAAAATTCAGTGACTGACCAAATGCACACAGCTCTCTGTCTGCGTGATTTGTCCTTTGTGCCACATCCAATCATCAAAGGGATCTTAGTGATGCAAACCAGCCCCTTTTCTTCATCTCACGAGAAAGCCAAGTTCAATAAGACCTTCTGGTCTTATCTTTTCAGAGATCTGGAATATGCCCAGGACAGAGCGGTCTGGGGACCACTGCTACAGGCACTATCCTTTCCCTAGTCTTGACAGGTTTGAGAAAAATCTATGATTCGTGTTAGTACTAACCCTTCCTAACCAAGGTGAGCTTGGTGAACCAGCAGCTTTGGCATGTCTTACCACCAGCCACGCAGGAACTTGGTCCACCCCCACACCTGCTGAGCCAAGACCTGCCTTGCAGTAAGGTCCCTAGATTATTACTCTACAGAAAAGAGTGGAGAGTTATTCAGCTTAGCTTATATTGTGAGGATGGAACCATGGTACCTTCTCTCTCACTGGGGCTTTCTATATTTTACCTTGGCCAGGCGTTTAGGGGACCCAACATAGGAAGTGTAGTTTGGGGGAACTCCGAATGCTTACCACCTGTGGGCTGAGAGAATGAAAACTGTCTGCTACGAAGTGTCAGTTGATGTTAGGAGGTGTGGCAGAGAGCCAAAGCGCCTTGACCAGGTGTGAGACTTCTGTGGACGCAGCTCTGTCCAGGACAACAGAAGAACCAGGCTCAACCGGGACCCATGCAACAAATGAGAAAAGAAAAACGTGAACCATGTAACAGAAAGCTATGGCTTGGGACTATCCTTTACTAGTCAAAGGATATGGATCCAACTAATTTCCCAAGCATTGTGGGGAGTAGCTGGTATTTTTTTTTTATTATTTCATAGAACAGGAAAGTGAAACTCGGGGACATTTTAAACAGTATCAGAAACATCTAATAAGTTACAAAGCTGCCTTACCTGCCTGCCCCAAGCTCAGACTCTTGCACAAAGGTGGTTATGAATTTGAATGTCAACTTAAATCCGTTACTGGATCCTCTCCCTTAAGCAGACTTTTTTTTTTCTGTATGCATGCAAATTAGTATAGTAAGTGCACATCCCAGTCCCTTTCAGTGCTAAGTGTAGTAGGGAAGGCCCAGTTTAAATACATTCTTAAAGGAAGACACATCCAAAAAGGAAGTGAAAAGGAGCTTCCGAAACCACATGTTAAACTGGTCAGAAAGCCAAATATAAAGTTTCACTCCACTGAGAGGTCTTGTCTGAACATTTTGCAGGAAAAAAGCAACACACCCCTTCCTCCTCTAAGAAAAAGCACTATCAACATTTCCTCTCACTTATGTATTACCAGTCTTCTCTCCATGGGCAAGCTAACCCTCACCCTTAGAAGTCAAAGACTATCAATTCAATTAAACAAAGCTGTCATTTCAGACAGGCCTTGAGAGATCAGGGTAAGATTCTAGCTCATTTACGAAAGCATCCAAGAGATTTCCTCTCCAGAAAAGAAATCAGTGGTAATGATAAGCAACTTTATAAAGAAAAATCCTTCCCAAACCTTCTAGAATGGCTTTTCTCTTTTGTTCTAAGCTGGCAAACAAGGAATTCATAAAGATTTTCCTGAAGTCTATTTCACAGCTGTGCCTCAGCAGTGGAAAAATAAAAGGAAAAAAAATGGCAGAAATTACTTAAAATGCAAAAAGAGCAAAGGGAGCTATTGCGGTGGGTTGTTACAAATGACTTTGGAGATCTGGGGAGGCTAAACCCTCCAAGTGCACTGAGAAGCAGTCATTTTATCTGAAGATAGTAATCCTCTCCCCGAATTCTGCGCATGTATTAGAGTATCCTCTTATTAAATTACAGTGTTTTATAACCAGTGAATAAAATTGGTATCATGTTTACTATGCAAAAATCCTTGCTATTTTTCAAATGGATGTATATATTTTAATATAAGATTGAAATTTAATATTGAAAGCACCAAGCGATAAAAACCAACCCACCTAGTTTCAAGCCCTGCTTAAATTATTTTTTTTTGAAATTTTGTATCTAATAACATAGTTCAATAATACTGAAACAAGATTAACGCTATGATACTATTTGTTTAGGAAACCCAGAACGTTGCTATGGAAACAGTCTCTGCATATCTATGGAAACCGAGTGTTGTAAATAATGATACTGAAAGGGGAACCTTGCAAAGTTGCCCGTCCATTCTAAGAAAAAGAAAAGTGTGGGGCTGCAGAGCAAGGAAAAGTATATTTTCTTATAAAAGGACAGCACATTGTTATATTCGTTTTCTCATGATAGGAGTTTTAATCTAAGATTTCGTAGTTTGATTCTTTAGTAACGCGTCAGTTACTGACTTCCTGTTAATGATCCAAACAAAACCGAGATACACTTAATGTGAAAATTTACTGAAAAGTTTTCTCCTTCAACGTATGAGTCTGATAACATTTTATCAGCCAAATCATTTTTCCCACTAATTCCAAGGTGGGCAATATTGCAGAAAGTATATGCTTAATTTAAATAAAATTCCAGAGTATAAAGTAATAGTTTTTTAAAATCTACTGTTAACAAACACTACACTGCTGTAAGCTGGGTTATTAAAATAAAATTAGGATAGGACAAGGTGGCCAAGCGGTTGAGACAATGGCCTCTAAAACAAAACTGAGGTTTCCTTTTACAATGTGAATATATGACACCATTGTTGGAATGCGTGTGACCTTGTAGTGATTTAAGACTTTGATTCCCTGAGTAAGTCATGTCTGGCTGAAAGGTAATTATTATTTCTTATTTTCCTTTCATCTTCTGATGTGGCCAAGACAGCTATCACCGAGAAAATAGCGGCGCACATTGTAGAATGAAGAATGTTACTAAAGAACACAATATGTAGAACAGCAACACACATAAAAACAACCAAACACAATCCTGCCTAAGCCCTTGCTTGGCAGTAATACATGTAGAGTCCATCTGCACACTTCTGAGTGCACGGATACTCGTTTCTCTTGAAAACATAAGTGAGGATGGTATTGTCAGCAGGGTAATCCGAGTGAAACATCGGAGAGGAAGGAAAGGAAGCTGGCGTGTGGCCTTGACAACCAGATGAAGATACAGGTTCTAGTCCACCTGGTGGAATCACAGCATCTCAATCTCTCCTTCTCTTTCATCCTTTTGTGTTTAGCTCCATTGCTAAGAGTCAGGCAGAGAAGGACCTAATGGTCCTCTGGGAGCTGAAAGCCACCAGACTCCTAAATTGCTACTTTGTAGAGTCTTCTAACATCTTGACAAATGACTCTTTCAGGTTAAACACAATATGTTTCTTAGCTTTATGTTTTTTATCTAAGATATTTTTTCTGTTTTGTTACCTTTGACTTGGAAATCTGTTTTTTTCTTTTTGATTTCTTAGTACAGACTGGTACTATTTACTTAAATAACTCAATTTAAAAGTAAAGTAATTTTGAAATGCAAAGTCTGAGTGAGACCATGGGTTTTCAAATGATGTTTTAAAAAGAGGGAAAGTAGAGGATTGGCTCTGGAGCCACTGCACACTCTGGGCCCCCATAAGACCTGCTCTACTTTTTTCAAAGTGTTAATTCCACTGTTTAAAAAAATAAAAATACAAAAATAGTATGTGTTTCTTTCCAACTTTTACAGGTCTATGATTCTCTGGTCATTTTTAAATAATTATTGAACTTTAAACTAATTAAAGAACTAGGGATATAGCTCAGTTAGCAGAGTGCTTGGTTAGCATGCATGAAGCCCCGAGTTCGATCCCCACCATTGCCCAGAACACCTGAAACTCTGGCAGTCTGGGGGTAGAGGCAAGAGAGTCAAAAGTTCAAACTTATGCTTCCAGGCCTGGGGAACTCGAGGCCAGCCAGAGCTACATATGTCATTATTTTACTCGAAAATATACATTTAAAATAGAAAGCTAAGGAGTGGCTTGGGAAATAAAACCTTTCCACATTTCTAAGTATGAGTTCCTGGGTGTGGCTTCCCAGAACTCATGCAAAGCCAGATGTGGGTAGTGCTACGATGTGGTGCGAGAGGGACCTTTGTGGTGTCCCATAGCAGGTTGGGTCCAAACCAAGGCCTACTTGCCATAAGCAGAGGGGTGACTGTGCCAGGTTCCCAAGGAATGCCAGGACACTAACAGGTAATGTATGTCAGTAGTAGCAGTTCTCCTATGGCAATGTGGGAGGCAGAGAAGGGAGAAGGCCTGAAAGTTTTTAGGACAGGTAGCCTGCTATCTACAGCAGCTAAGGAGAGAGACTGTCTGGATAGGGTGGAAGGTAAAAACTGATATTCAAGATTGTGTCTTCTTGCCTCTGCACAAGCACACTGACACACACACACACACACACACACACACACACACACACACACACAAATGTAATAATATATAATAATATATAATAGCAAGACCATGCTCCTCTTCAGAGGACATTAGCTATCTATAATGCAGAGCTCAATATGAGTCACCACATATTTAAAAATATGAGACATTTACTGAATATCTGTCATATGTCAAGAATTCTCATCAACTGGGACAAAAAGGGCCCAAAACCCCCATAATCATAGCAAAAACGCAGAAGTTGCCTGTATTCTGGTTGACTCCCTAAGCAAGTGGCCTGTGAGGTCGCAGGAGCCCATGTTCTTATGGCTAGCTATCATTCTCTGTAGCCAGTGCCAGTCATCAATGAGTTTGGTTTGGTTGCTTTGTTTGTTTCTTTTTTTTTATTTGTTTGTTTTGTTTTGTCTTTTGACAAGGTTTCTCTGTAGCTTTGGAACTCTTGTAAACTAGGAGGGCCTCGAACTCACAAAGATCCGCTTGACTCTGCCTCCCAAGTGCTGGAATTAAAGGCATGTGTCACTATCACCCTGCTGAACTTGTGTTTTTAAGTGTAGGCAATGAGGGGAAAAGGAGATGCCGGACGGAGTCTTATACCCCAGGATGTCATCCTAGTTAGTATAAGCAGATGTAGTTAAATACCAGACCAGGTAACTTGAACCTTGGCGCTGTATTAGTGCAGTTCAGGAGTCTGACAGTTCATTAAATATCAGGGAAAGAGTTGAGTCGATTTCCAGGGGGTTTCTCTGCCCTGATTGCATACTGCCACCTTCCAACTCTGTCCTCAGTTGACAGGGTAGGAGAAAGAGAGCAGACTCCTTCTTTGGGGTCACTAATGGGCCAGGATGTATGGCTTCTTTTAACCATAACTACTTCCTTCCTCATGTCACTACCCTAGAGATTTAATACATGAATTTGGATGTAAAACTATTAAATCTACTAAAATTTTAGTCTATTTTTACTTATATGATTTACAAAAAAACTAGAAACAAGAAGAAATTATTAAATTGCAAGTAGTTAATGAAAACCGATATATCTACACATTATTAAATATTTCGTGACTCTCACATGACATGGCAAAGGCTCTCTGTGTGGAATAACTGAACATTCACACATAGTTTGCATGGACACTCTTTATTGAAGCCCATGTGAAGAAACGGACCACGCTTAGGAAAAATGACAAAACAAAATTCATGAAAGCACCTAACAGAGGTAGTCATTAGGAGCCTGAGTATTTGACAGTTTTTCTTTCTGCGCATATGCATTTTTCAGTATTCTTCCATGAATACTTACCATTTTAAACTGAAAAATAGTTTTAACTATCCTATTAAATTTATCGTCATTTTTAAAAATAACATAAACACAAAGTCAAATGTTTTCTAAATTATTCAATTAGCAAATGTGTATTCTTAGGTTTATAAATTTAAAATGTACCAAATTATGAAATTTGTTGCTGAAAAGTCAGTATTAAAGTTCTCTTGTGAACATTATTGTTTTTATTTGTATCTGTCTGTGTGTCTGAGGGAGAGACAGAATATGTGTGTGTGTGTGTGTGTGTGCGTGTGTGTTTATGTCTATGTGAACGTATGTGCACATGTACATGTGGGTGCATGTGAGTGCCAGTAGAGGACCTCAGACACTTGCAGATTACGGCACAGGTATTGTGAGCTACAGGATCTAGGTACTGGGATCTGAACCCTGCTCTACATGACTGTGCTCTTAGTCACTGGAAGACCTGTTCTGAAGTGGCTTCCCTTACCTCAGGGCTATTTAACTCTATTTCCTGGGGTTAACCTCCCAAGCAACATTTTTAAACTATGAAACATGGGCCTCCAATATTGCATTGGGAATTAACCAAAATTATCCTCTTTAATTTAGGAATGTCTTTGCAAGAGAAATAACTGCCTCCAAAACTGAACACACTAGTTCATAATAAATAGAGGCTGCGTGTCCTGGAGCATGTACGTGCCAAGGCCTAAGCTCAAGGACAATGTTGTAGAGTTGGTTCTTTCTTTAAAGTTTTACGTGGATTCTGAGGAATCAAATTCAGAGGGCCAGGCTTACACTTCTGTTTTTACCCACTGGGCCATGCTGCTGAACCCACAGTGCCTTTTTAGTATACAATTTTGTTTTTGTAGTAAAAGAAAGCAATTGTGTCACCATGGAGATGATGAATTTTATGTGTCAAATTGGCTGGCTTTGGAGCTCAGATGTATCATTAAACATTATTTGAATGTTTCCATAAGGTGCTTTTGAGTGAGATTTGCATATACGGTGGTGAGCTTTGGATACAATATATTATCCTTTATAATTCAAATAGAGACCTATCCCAATCAGTGAAAGAGCACAGATTAAAAGGATGGGCCTCTCAAAGCAAGAAGAAATGGCCAGAGACAGTCTTTGATCTTTCCCAGCGGTGGCTTTTCCTGTGTTTGCATTTAAAGTACTACTCATGTCTGTGTCTTTAGTGGTCCTGTTCTCTCTAGAAGATTTTTGACTCACAAAGGCTTCATAATCATCTGAGTGAAGTTTTGAAATTTATGTATGTATGTATGTATGTAATCTGATCTATCTATCCACCTATCCACTTCCTATAATCTATAATCTATCTATTCAATATATTATCAACCTTTTTATCTATCATCTACCTAAGATTTATCATTCTATCTGTATATCTCTTTCTATCATCTACTTATAATCTACCCTCTGTCTATGCAGATGTCTATCTACCTACAGAGTATCTGTTCATTTATCTATCATCTCAACTGATGAATCCATGCTTATTATTAAAAAACAGTATTTTATATCTTGAAAAATTCTCCCTCCATCTCTCATTTCACCAGTAGGAATAGACATTTTCCTCTTCATTCTGGACTACCCTTTTTAATCTTCTATAAAGTGAACACTCTTGGATCAAAGACACTTACAGTATGTTTCTCAACGCAAAGGACAGATGCACTTGCTGCCGATATTAGGACTGCATCCTATGCCACAAGTCCATCTTCTGAAAAACAACTCTTTGCATGTGCAAATTCATGTCATTTGACCGTCTCTGAGTCATGCCTTGGGACAGAGGATGGGGAACTGAAGTTGCTGACACTCTGCCTGTTGTTGTTGCTGAAGTCATAGAGTCTTATATGTCTTTGAACAAAAGTAGTCACAACTCGGTTCTGCATCCATGTAACTATGTAAGCCAACAAGCAATATCAGATCTTTCCCAGTTATTTTCAGTTTACAAGAACTATTGCAGAGGTTATATACTGAAAATCTATTCACAATCTATTCATGGTGGCTCAGAAACCCTATTTGCCAAAGGTGAAGTCTCATTCTTCTCCATTTAGTGTAGGTTAAACTAAATGAATTACCTCTCAGAAGTAGAATGTGGCAGAAGAAATAGGGTGTGATATTTGAGGACTTTTCTAAATGTCTTGAGGATTTCGTC